GAGGGCGTCCCTTCCTTCAACAAGAGGCTATCTTAAGACCTGGAACATAAAAGAGGTCATAAGAATAATCTCTAAGTCTAAAAGGACTAAATGAAGCTCACCCATTATCCAACCCAATGTTCTCATTTCCTGTGTGAACTCAAGTCCAGAGAACTGGTCAGATGTCCATGGTTAGCTGATGACTAAAAAGCAGGACTAGAATTCAGGCCTCCTATCCTCAGCTCAGGGCATTCTCCAGTATTCCCCACAGTCCTTTAATGCATATTTATTAAGAAATATTTATTAGGAATAATAAGGTTAGCTCATTTACATTTAATGGAATTACTGATAAATTTGGGTTTTAATCTAGCATCCTATTTCATGATCGATATGTTCTGCTTCTATGATTCTTTTTCTCATCTCTTGACTTCTTTTGGATCAACTAAGATTTTTTAATCATTGATCTTCCCCTTTACTATTTTGGAAGGTTTACAATAATTATCTATTCTTTTAATGGCTGTCCTAAAAGTTATTACCATTTTCTATTTATTATTTCAGTTTTAACCTTTCATTGTTAACATATCCAAATATAATATAAATATTATTCTCTATCATTGGCCTATACAACTCAGAAAGCTTAGAACACTTCAATCCCATTTACTTACATCCCAATTAATTGGCACTTGACACAATTAAAAATTCTACATAATTTTAAATTCTGTAATCTGTTTTTATTGTTTTTTTATTCCTCATTTCTTCCTGAGTCTCAGGTTTTCCATCTGGATCATTTTACTTGTTTCTTTTTTTTTTTTTTTTTGAAATGGAGTCTTACCCTGTTGCCCAGGCTGGAGTGCAATGGTGCAATCTCAGCTTACTGTAACCTCTGCCTTTGGGGCTCAAGTGATTCTCCCGCCTCAGCCTCCCGGATAGCTGGGACTACATGCATGCACCACCATGTCTGGCTAATTTTTTGTATTTTTAGTAGAGACAGGGTTTCACTGTGTTAGCCAGGATGGTCTCAATCTCCTGACCTCATGACCTCAGCCTTCCAAAGTGCTGGGATTATAGGTGTGAACCACCACACCCAGCCCTACTTGTTTCTTAAATACATCTTTTAAAATTTTCCAAACTCACTCTCTTTTTTTAAAAAAAGTATTTATCTTTACCAAATATAATATAAATAAATATATAATATAATAATATATTAATAAATGGAATACTTCCTGGGAATAGGAATCTAAGTGTGCAATTGTTTTATCTCAACATGTTGACAATATTATTTTATTGTCTTCTGACTTCAATTATTAACTTTTAAAAGTCAGCCGTCAATTTAACTTTATTTCTTTAGAGGTAATATTTCATTTTCTCTATGACTGCTTTTAATATGTGGTGTGCTTACAGCTCAGTTTCTCTGGTTTTCCATGGTTTCACTATAGTGTGTCTGGCAGTGCTGTTTTTTAATTTATATTGTGTAAGCTCTATTAGGCTTCTTGAATCTATAGATATATGTCTTTTATTAGTCCTTAATATTCTTGGCTATCATATCTTAAAACATTGCCTTCTGTCTGTTTTCTCCTTCAGACACAGCAGAGTTATTTTATAGTTTGTGACTAGTAATTCCAACAGACATTATTTCCAGTGATTATGGGTCTATTTGTGTTGTCTGTTGTTTCTGCTGGCGTTGCTCTATAAGCTCTGTTTCCATGTATGACTGGCTATTTTTGACAATGTGTTGGACGTTGTGTTTTAAAGATTATTTGTACGAATTTTCACAATAATTTGAGGCCTAGAATAACATCCTCTTCTTCCAAAGAGGATTTTCCTTTGTCTTTGCCAGACAGTTGAGGTGCTACCAGTCTGGGTCTATCTCAAACCAAGATCGAGGCTTGCAATTTCCTGGACCAGCCAGGTGACATAAAGTCAAATCAAAATTCTTTGCAGGGATTAGCTTACTCATGATTTACCTTACCTGGATCCTTTGGATCCCAACTTAAAGTGGCCATGGTTTATTAAAATTCTCAATTCTGGTGGATTACAGGTCTTGCCTTTTGCCTCCTGGCCCCAGGAATTTGCCAAAAGTAAATTTCTTTAGGATTAACAAATGTTCTTAGGGCAAAATCAGATTTGAATGTTGGTCTTACTCTCTAGGTTCTCCTCTTCTAGATTTTGGTTTTGTAATTCTTCAATATCTTAATACTTTGATTCTTTTAAGAAGATTTTTTTATATTTCATTTAGTACTTTAGGTTTCCTTAGTAGAAGGATTGGTCCAAATTTTCTAATCATCAATTATTGTGAGTAGAAGTTTCAGTTTATGTATTTAACAGAAGAAATAATACTTTTCACAGTTTTCTATTTCTACTTTGTTTATAAAATTGTTAGTCACTATAAAGCACTTTACATATAATTTAACAGAAGAAATAATACTTTTCACAGTTTTCTATTTCTACTTTGTTCATCAAATTGTTAGTCACTATAAAGCACTTTACATATACCAAGAATGCAACATATCCTACAGAACCAAAATTGTTATGTAGCATTTATCAAGTTCCTTTAAAGGACCCAATCTGGTATGATATGAAATTGTTTATAAGACAATTTTAAGTTGTGACTACTTCAGGTGTTGGATATTCAGTATGATAAATGTGTGCTTCACCAATTCATAAAAATATAATGGAAGATTCAGTGATCTATATATGGCATACATACATAATGTCATACCCCACCAAGGGTGCTTACTCTTCCCACTGAATGAAAGTGTCTTCCCCTTCCCTGGCCTCTTTCAAATCTTTTCTCTATCCTTATCTTCTCAATAAAGCCTTTCCTATATATCCTATTTAAAGTTGCAAACTCCCCCATCCCATTCCTGCATTTCTTAATCTCATCTTGTTTTTTGCTTTTCTCCATCTTGCATACTTATATACCAAACATTATATATCCTGTCTCTATCACTGCCTCTCCAATCTTGATAAATCTACTTAACCTCTCAATTCCTCATTTTTCCTAGATATAAAACAGCATGAAGAAAAGCATTCCTCTTCTTCATATGGGTGTCTCACAGTGAGTATGGTGATCACAAAGGGGGTTACATTTTAATAAGATTGTTGCCATTATTATTGCACAATAATTTTTTATAATAGTGTGCTGAATTGTAGGAAATGACCACAAATTCCTTCCATATATATATGCACACATACATGCACTCCATTTTCTTAAATCTGGATAGCCTTATGACCTGCTTTGTGGTGGAAATGACACTGTATGTTTTAATTGCAGGCTTCAAGAGCCTATGTAGCATCCAATTTTACCCTCCTGTAACCCTGGGACATTTACATGAAGTAGTCTGGGATAGCCTCCTTGAGAATGAGAGACCACATAGAAAGAGAGGCCCAGCCAACTCCTTCATCAATTGCTAGTGAGTGACAATGTCTTCGACCATATAATCCCAGTCAAGCCACTAGAAGAACGCAACAATATATGTAAGAATAAACAAGACCAGCAGAAGAGCTGCCCATCAATCTGAGCCTCAATTGCTGACCCATAGAACCATGTGCAAATAAATATAAAACTGAGACAAAAACTATTTGCTAGAGTAAAATCGACTATGTCTTAAAAAAATTTGAATAGTTATTTGTTCAAGAAGCAAAAGAATAAGAGTTATACTCCCTTTTATAGTAATAAACCTCTACCTAACCAACTTTTCTGCAGATTATAATTTAAAACTTTAGAAAAATAGAAAACTATCTGAGGGCAAATAAAAGCAGGCAGATATTACAGAAGAGTTTATACTTGAAAAAGAGAATACCATGAGTTAAGTTTTATGTTTCTTTTTTTTTTTTTTTTTTAATCCTGAGAGCAGGCTATAGCTGGTGCGACATGGGGATCACTGAAACTGTGATAGAAACCCACAGTCTTCCTGGCTTGCAGAACCAAATGTCAGAGTTCAAGGCAACCACAGCTTCTTGAAAATGAGAGGGAAATTCCATGAAGGAGATAATCACAGAGAGAGAAAGAGAGAGACAGAGCACACCCAAATGCTGCCTAGAAATTTCTGGTTGAACCCTATGTCTCACATTTGTGGGACAGAGCTCAAGCCTCTCAGCTGAGGAAAACAAAACAAAACAAAACAAGAACTTGGATTTGAGCTGCTGCCTACTTCAAGACATACCAGAATATGCAATTTGAATTCAGCCAAGATAACTGCCTGCATAAAAAATCTGCACAATATTCCTCAGAATAGCATAACAAAATACAGAGTCTCTTCAGTGTATCATTTATAACAGCCAGAATACACTCCAAAATTGCTCAACATTTGAAGAAAAAAATATAACTTATTTATTCTCAAGAGAAAAAAAACAATTTGGAGATAATACAGGTGATGGAATTGGCAGACTAGATTTTAAAGTGGTTATTGTAACTATACTCAAGGACATAAAGAAAAACATACTCCTAATAAATGAAAAGATAAGAAAGCTCAATAAATAACTAAAAACTATTTTTTTCTTAAAAGAACCAAATAAAAATTCTAGAATTAAAAATTACAATATCTAAAATAAAAAATATACTGGTTGGTCTTAACAGTAAAATAGAAATAACAGAAAATATCAGTAATCTTTAAAATCATTCAATAGAAGTTATTTGATATGCAGAACAGAGAGAAGAGACATTGAAAAACAATGGGCAGATCCTCTGGGAACTGTGGATAATATGAAAAGGTCTAATATATGTGTAACTGAAGTCAGAGAAGGAGAAGAGAAAAAATAGTTCAGAAAAAAATATTTGAAAAGAAGTAAAGGTGAAAATTATTCAAATTTAGAGAAAGGCATAAAGTTATAGATTTGGAAGGAAAGCAGTTCCCAAGCAGAAGAGGATTAAACACACACCCACACCCACAACCCGCCCCCCACACACAGATACATTAAACTGCTAAAAACCAGAGTTAAGAGGAATAATCTCGAAATAACACAAAGGAACTTATTATAAACTCATTCTATACCAAATAAAATACTACATGCAGAGTTTTATGAATTTTTTTATTCAGGAAATTTTCAGTGTAGGAGAAATTGCTACTTTTCACTGGAGAAAAAAATCCTGGCTGTGAGGAGCTCATTCACACTGTCAGGGACCATGGAGGTGGGTGGTTGAGGAGCAGACTAATAGCCCTTCATTTACATTTCAGCTGGGGAAGAGCTTCTGGAGGAGACAGGATGCTATGAGCTCTCTGGAAGACAGAAAGATTTTGACATAAATAATTCTAAAATCAGGGAAAGAGAAGTGAGATCCTCATGGTAAACTTGAGAATGACCCAACCAGAGAATCTAGTGCCTTGGAGCCAAGGGAGTTTTTGAAACGGAATTAGTAGAAAGAAATTTGGGGGGAATGGGGAAGGCCCAGAAGATTTTGATCCTTTAACAGCATTTGTTTCCTCATATACTTTCCCTTCTTTCTCCCACAATTTAGCATAACCCTTTTCAGGGTGGGTCACTTTGAAAAACGTAAGGAGGAAGATTCTTTCCCTTCCTTTTCACCAACAGATCAGAGCTGTCCAGAGGTAGCTGCTCTGGGCAGTGTGTGGCCTCATTTTGACAGATGTGTACTCATTAGTTCATAGAGGATGATGTTAATAATTGAAAACAAATAATGAAACCTCCAAATGTAAACCCAAAGTTTGCTGCTTGTTATAATTATGTTTTTCATACTAGACTGGAAATAGGGCTATTGTGTTTTTGTTCGTATGTAAGTCTCTTTTTCTCTTTTTATTCTCCCTCCCTTACTTCCCCATTCCTCCATCTCACACCATCTTATGTTTTAGGGGCAATACTCCCAAAGGAAGGCAGTAATCCAAGAAATAGCTGGAAGCTGGTTGCCAGGGGCTGAGGCAAGGGCCTGGTGTGATCTCAGGCTGAGCACCAGTTAGGAATAGTGCAACCCAGCAGCATCATGGCCGGTCTTTCAGCCCGTCTGCAGCTCTTCCTGGAACACAGGCCCTTTCCTGTGTTTGAACTCACCGCCAATGGCTGTCCTATCAAAGGTAAACAGCATCAGTCTAAGCAAACTACTCTGTTTCCAAAAGAAAGCTTTTAACTTTCCTGCTGGAGGAGGCAGGAGGGGGTTGTTTGAGGACTGGGTGGAGGAGAGGGAGGAGGTTAGACCAGAGGAAACACAAGTGACCCTGGAGCCTTGCCCTGCTGTGTTTCTTTCTTTTCTTTTCTTTTTTTTTCTTTTCACCTCTCTCATTATTTTTGGCTGGCTCCTTTGTGCATGCTGCCTTCTATTCACTGACAGCTGCTTTGAACATCAGTCATATCAGGTCATCTGCCAAGCTGTGCGCCTCTGGTCACATTGCTCTGAGGCCTCCGGTTTTTCAGCTTCAAAGCACCTCACAAGCAGTGACTTGCCTCCTTTGGAGAGGGTGTTAAAAGAAGGGGAAGCCTGTGACGGACTCATGAAACCTCTGGTGTTAAGGCTGGAAGCTTCGATCTCATTTTGCAGAGGAAGAAATTAGGACTGAAGAAGAGTTGCAGAGGCCTACTTCCTGGTCCTTGTGGTCAGTAAGTGGAAGGGCCAGGGGTAGAAGCCAGATCTGTTCATGTCTGGTCTGAAGGTGTTCTTCCCACTCTTTGGATTTCAAACCGTATTTCTCAAGAAGTCTTAGCCTACCTCAGATGTGCCTCATTGATGACAACATTTTAAGAATGAGATGAGTGAAGGGGTGGAGCTAGAAGAATGCCCCGTGGATGGAACCATCCTCCTCCTCCAAGTGGAACCTCTTCTTTTTGGTCTCATTCACTCACGTTTTCATTCATTCATTCAAAGTTGCCTATTGAGCAACTTTCACATGCCAAGTGGCTTCCAGACACTGGAATACAATGGTGATCCAGCAAAGTCTGATTCCCATGAAACTTACATTCTGTTGTTTGAATTTGTTCCCAAGGAGGATTATTTTTTTGGTGAAAGCGTCCTGTTGATTTTTTCCTCCTTTAAAGAATTTTTCCAACATCTAGCCTTCAGATTATTAACTGGTATTCATTAAGCACTTGCAACACTAAGTATAGATTTTGCCACCACCTAAAGCAAATTAGCTGCTGATCTTCTAACCCATGGTAATGTAAAATCTATAAAGAAAAGACAGCTAAAGAGAGAACTTGACTAGAAAACATCACCCCCACTCACTAACAAATGTTGGAAAGAAATAAACATGTCAGTGGCATAGATGGTGAGTTAAACTCCTGTGGCTTGTAGTCTACCAAGGGCCACTAATACACTCACTGTTTTGTTATCCCATATGTGATGTAAGGAGGTGAAAAAATATGTGACTATTTTACTACAGACCTACTTGGTTGGTAGTATGGTGAAGGTGGGTACAGCAGTTAACAGACTTAGTTAATTTCGTAGTCAAATTTTGAGATCCACCCACCTACAAATATTCCTACCTGGGACTTTTGGTCTGAAAATTTAGAGCCAAAATTGTAAACTAGCAAAAGATAACTGCTACATAGCAAATAATAACAAAACTAACTGGTTTTTTGAAAAAATGCTTATTATCTCATATTTCTGTGGGGCAGGAATTCAGAAAGCATATCTGAGTGGTTTGGTTAAGGATCTTTGATGAGGTTGCAGTCAGTGTGGCAGGGGCTGCCATTGTCTGAAAGCGTGACTGAGCCAGATGCTCCATTGCCAAGACAGTGCACTCACAATGCTGTTAGTGGGAGCCCTCAGTTTCTCTCCATGTGGTCTTTTCCACATGTTATTTGGGTCATGACATGGCTGCTAATTTCTCCCCAAAGCAAGCAATCCAAGAAAGAGTAGACAAGGAGGGGACTCCAATGCCTTCAATGACTGTGTCTTCTAAGTCCCTTACTGTCACTTCTTCCTTATCCTGATTTTATGGAACAAATCACTAAGTCCAACCCACACTAAAAAGATGAGGAACTAGATGTCATCTCTCAAAGAAAGGAATATTGACGAATTTGGAGATGTATTTTAAAACCCTAATGCTAGGTTCCCTTCACATATATAATTAATTTTTTCTTAGATTATTTTATTTTGGGAAGGTCTTGCTGTTGTCAAGGCTATAGTGTAGTGGGGTGATCACTGCTTACTGCTCATTGCAGCATTGACCTCCCAGCCTCAAGCAATCCTCCCATCTCAGCCTTTCAAGTAGCTGGGACCACAGGCGTACGCCACTCTGCCTAGCTAATTTTCTTATTTTCCTTCTGTAGAGGCAGGTCTTACTATGTTGACCAGGCTGGTTTCAAACTCCTAGCCTCAAGCAGTTCTAATCTTGGCCACCCAAAGCGTGGGGATTACAAGCATGAGCCACCATGCCTGGCCCAATTCTATATTTAAAGTATAGATTCCACATAAATATTCAGTTTTTGTCTTATTTTTTAAAAATAAGATCTGTTCACACTAGGCCTATGTGCTCACAAAGCACTTTATATTGAACACAGGCTCTTCAGTTTGCCATGATCACCACTAAGCCCTCTGAATTACACATGGCACACTTACTTAACACATGTGTTACCTGCTTGGCTCATTTAAATCACTGAGTTTGGAGCTAAATACTGATCTAGATCTAATGAGGCTGAAGACATGGCAATGGAATTGAAGAAGGAAGAAGCCTGACCCCTGGTGTGAGTTGTATCCCAGAAGACTGGGAAATGAGACAGGTTGTGGGTTTTCTTAGAGTGGCAGCAACCTTGCATCACACCTGCATTGGGCTGTGTAGATGACAGGGGCAGGAGATCTGGGCATGAGGCAGGCAATAGGTCACATAGATTTGGCAGATGTTCCTGTGATGGAACTTGACACTGAGTGTGTAGAGTCACCAGGAGAACCAGCCCCCTTTGAGAGGACCATGAATGACCCAGCATGGATCAAGGCTCAGTGCTGTCTTCCTAAGATTGCCTGAGTCCTAGGTCTGGGACAACCTAAGGAAGGGTGTGGGATCCATGAAAAATAATGACATAGAATTGTTAGCCAACTTTGCCAAGGAGGGGAACTCTAATCATATTTAGTTTGATGTATAAAAATAAAGTTATTTCCTGACCCTGGTGTGCCACAGACACATCAATAAGCATTTAGAATGCTTGAAGAGAGCCTGCAAGCAGAAGAAAAGGTCTTTACAACCTCTCTGGAGGAGACTGTGAAAAGGTGAGCTTTACTAAGTTACAGAAATGAAGACTGGAGAATGATGAGCCTAATAATAACCCACAGTTGACAGTGCACTCAAAGGCTGTTAGTGGGAGCCCTCAGTTTCTCTCCATGTGGCCCTCTCCATAGGTTACTTGGGTATCCTCATGACATGGCTGCTAATTTCCCCTCAAAGCAAGCAATCCAAGAAAGAGAAAACAAGGAGGGCTTGCTTTACTTTTAATATGACTATGAATATTCCCCAACTTAAAAATACTTGTTTACTCCTACCAGATATTTGGAGCTCAGACTGCATGTTCCTTGATGGTTAAGTCCACAAGCCAGTTGTGATACAGTGTATATATTTGGCATTAGTCCCCTTCCTGGCATACAACTCCTAAAATTCTTGGAATCTTCAAAATGATGTGTCTTTTGATATGCTAATGAGTTGACTGGTGGCTGGGAGCCCAAGTTAGCTTCAGGATGGAGGCTGGTCACAGGAAAGACCCGAGTTGGGACTCTCAGCTTCACCCCCCAACCTGCAGGAAGGGGAGAGGGGCTGAAGGTTAAACTGATCATCAATGGCCAGTGATTTAGCCAATCATCCCAGTGTAATGAAGCTTTCATAAAAACCCAAAAGGACTGGGTTTGAGAGCTTCTGGATGGCATACCCAGAGAGGACATGGAAGTTCTGCCCTCCTTCCTCCATATTTTGTTCTATCCAACTCTTCATCTTCTGCTCATTGGTATCCTTTGTAATATCCTTAAAAATAAACCAGTAAAGGTAAATAAGTCTTTACCTGAGTTCTGTGAGCCACTCTAGCAAACTAATTGAACCTGAGGAGGGGGTCATGGGCACCCTGAGGTATAGCTGATTAGTCAGAAGTAAAGGTGAAACAACCTGGGGCTTTCGATTGGCACCTGAAGGGGAGGATAGTATCATGGGACTGAATCCTCAACCTGTGGGATCTGATGCTATCTCCAGGTAGATGGTGTTGACATTGAATTGAATTAGGACACCCTACTGGTGTCTGCTGCAGAATTGGCTGATTCCTAGGTATGTGGGGAAAACTCCCATACGTCTGG